ATTTCAATAATAATTTTAAAAAAAACATAAAAAATTAATTTCAGATTTCAATAAGACGGAAATACGGCATTGGCCTAGATTCATTCAAAGTGGAAATCAAACCACACTGGAGAAAGTGGAAAGTACTGGGCGTCAGGGACCAGGTCAAAGTAACACCAACCCTTGCAGGTCAGCCTTCTCAAATGCACATTACTATTGAAACATACACATACAATGAAATTAACCATTATGGTTCTCACGGAAAACTGCACAAGAATTTGGTATCGGCAATAAAAACTGCAAGAACAGCAAAACAGAGAAAGGCCAGTTTTTGTAGTATTTTTCTCATTCATTTTCTTCGTAAGCATCTGAACTGGTTTTAGGTCTGGGTATCGACAGTGCTATAATTAAGGACTTCCCCTGTGAGATGTGTGTGCGAGCGTATCCTTTTTCACTCTCTGAACCTAACAGGATGTTTAGACATGAACTCTGAGCCTGGAGTCCGCTTAAGTTAATTAGCAGGCATTGTTAATGAGCGCTCTGAGCCGGCAGTTAGCCGCTCCGCTGGTATTTGATGAAGCCGTCCAGGGCAGGCTTACGATGACTTACTGCTATTAGAGCTGTACAGAGCAGACAACCAATTAAACATCATGTTCAAAGAATTTCACCATATTAGTACCGATATCACAATGGAAAATAAATCTCATGAGAGACAAAATATTGTAAACACCTGATGAATGATGCTGCAAAGATTCATGGAGCAGCGCTGTAGCCAAACAGCACAACAGTAGTTTGGAAAAAACCTTCCTGATAAACTGCAGGCTGAGGATTCGGTTCACAACAAGAGAACTTAGTGCCACCAAGTTATAAACAGAGAAACACCTCAGAAGCTGTGTATGCTACAGTTAGGGATGCATACAGAAGGATTTTTGCAGCCGATACTGAGTACCGATTTCTTGTTATGGTGATCAGCCGATACCAATGCCGATTCTGATGCTTCAAGCTTTATATAGACGGTTTCATCGGGCGCACGCGCCTGGCCCGAAGTTAACTTCCGGTCTGTGTTTGTTTATCAGTCTGGCTATGGCACCGGCTACAAACGCAGTTAAAGTTAAGGTGATGAGTAGACTGAAGTTGGGCTCAGGTGGTTGTGCAGTGGGATGTGTTTCTAATACATTTATTTATTTGTGGCGCTCGCCACAATATCAAAACTGACCGATTTTCCAAAAGGCTTCGTTGAATAAACATGAGCACGTACTGCACAATTAAAAATCAATACGAGGCGCGGGTGTTTTTATATCACTGTATTTCTGAAGGAAGACTCTCTTTAGAAAATTTTCAATGTCATTTTCATTTCATCTTGCATGTTCTATAAAGCAGCGTTTGTGAGCTCAGCGCTGCTTTGTGTACAGCCATCACTGGGGAAAATTCTGTTTCTCCCGCTTTAAAGCACCTCCTGCTGGCAGAGAATGAATTTGCATTTTCAGTAAGTCCATCTGATTTATGCAGCAAACTTATTTTGCTTTTCGTATATCCACATTAAATGTTCATTTAAAAGCAGCCCACGATCAGCTTACTATGTTACTATTATCCCTTACGGCTCCGACGAGGTTTTGTTCCGTCCTCAACGCTGTGACAACTCGCAAAAGACTATTTTTAGCCAAGCAGCGTGGAGAGGCGCTTCAGAAACGTGCCGCGGCTGGCCGTTATAAACACAAGCACTGACTAGAGCGGCCGCGATCAGCTCCGGTTCCCGTGGAGCCATAACGCGCCACAGACGTGTGCAGTGAGGCTCTAACGTCAGCTCTAATGTCACTGCATCTGCTGTTAAAAATGAACCATCCATCATATCATCATGCAAAACATACACGACAAATAGCAAATTTTTCATTGTTTCTCGAAACGTCATAGCATTTCCACACCAGCGATGACATGACTGCAGCGCCAAATTATTTGTCCCCACGCATTATGTACGTCCTCACGCGTTGACGTCATCAAATTGCGATCGGTTCGTGAGATCGGCCAATTGAAGTGAGTACCGATCGAGTCATAAAATGTGATTATCGGCCGATACCGATCTCCAGCCGATCGATCGGAGCATCCCTAGTTACAGTTCAGTTTCACAGAGAAAGGGTGAGAAAGAAAGACTGCAGAATAAACATGGCACAGATGAACACGTGAAATGCAGAGGATTCAGGGGGGGGAAAACAGTGCAACAACTAAATTTCAATAAGCTTTTGAGTTCATAGTATTATGAAAACACCTGCCCAGTTCAAAAAAAGCACATGTTAAATCTAACATGCAAAACCAACACTTTTTTTTAAAACCCTTCAAATTACACGTCAAAAACCTGGAATATTATACAGAAAATTCAAACCAATGCTGCATTTATTCGATAGGAAATACACTGAAAACAGTAACACTGTGAAATACTATTACAATTTAAAATTACTGTTTCTATGTGAATATATTGCACAATGTAATTTATTTCTGTGATCCAAAGCTGAATTTCACATGATACTACAGAAATTATTCTAATATGTTGCTTTGCTGCTCAAGAAAACATTTATTATTATTATTATTATCAATGCTGAAACACTGTTGCTGCTTCATATTTTTGTGGAAATCTTGCTTTTTTCCCTGCAAAGTTCAAAAAACAGCACATATTTGAAATAGATATTTATTTATTTTTGCAATATTATAAATGTCTTTACTGACAATTTTGATTTGAATTGAGTCCTTGCTGAATAAAAATATGAATTAAAAAAAATAAATAACTTCTTACTGACCCCAAACTTTTAAAACCAAGGAAAACTCAAACTACATGAAATGGCTTGATGATAACTTAAATAACATTAAAACACATTTCACTCTGCAAACGCTTCGACTAGGGAGCAATTCTGCAAATCGAGAGCTCCATTTGGCAGCTTTCTATAACGGCTGCACTAAACCAGTATTTACTGATGGGGAACGTCAACCACCTGTGGTGTGGAGTCTCACAGAGCATGGAATCGATTACAAAAACACTCGTTTCTTATCACCATAACCGTCTAATAACACCCCACAGCGTCGAGATCTCTTATTTTTAAGCACTACTGGGAAGCTAATATTCTGTACTTCCATGACTGCTTGCGCCCATGAGTCACGCAGAGCTTGTGAGAAGGTGACACGTGTTCTTGCAGCTTTGACAGGCCCGTAAACTGCGAGTTGAGTGATTCGAGGTTCAGAATTGAACAGTGAGTGAAAACTGACGTGCCAAATAAAGGGTTTGGATTCCAGGGGAATGTATTCACCCATTTTCTCTCTGGTAAAGGCCCTGCCTGCTGCTCTACCTCAACATTTTTCCATAAAATATCCATAACTAATGCTTCAAATCCATCTGTCACCTCTATTTCATGACTCTTTTGTGATGTGCTGTTATCATATTTGGTATATCAAGGATATAAATGGCCATAATTTTATCACTGGCTCAGTCTTGCTCTTTGATGTTGAATACGAGTATAGGCTGGAATGGTACATTCTTAAAAATAAAGGTTCTTTATTGGCATTGATGGTTCCATGGAGAAGCTTTATGGAACCTTTCCATTCCCAAAAAAAAAAAAAAAAGTTATTTATCTTTATAGATTTTTCAAATGTTCTTTACACTGAAAAAGAATGGTTCTTTTAAGAACTGTTCACTGAAAGGTTCTTTGGGGATCCAAACTTGTCCTTCTATGGTTTCACTGTGAAAACCCTTTATTTTATTTTTACATATTGAAAGCAAAAGCTTACAGGGACACTGGCCATCACACCTCAAGGGATGGTCATCTTATTTCAGACGAGCGAGAAAGGCTCCGTCGTTCCTGCCAGAGCCGGTCAGATGGGTGTAAATACACACATGCAAATGCATGACGAAGCGACGGGGATGTGAAGCTTTGTGTTGAAATGTCCTTGGTAAGACAGATGCCAGTGTGATAAATGAGGCGAATGAGATGAACTTTAAAGGAATATGCAATAAAGGATTTGCGTTGGATCTGTGGAACACGGAGGAAGTTGTTTTGTAGAAAGTCTGAGCTGCTCTTTTCCATTCAATGAAAGTGAATGTAGATGGATGATTGAGAACTTTTCGGACAAAAAAAAACAAAACAAAAAAAACTATATGATAAAATTTAAACCACTATTCACTATACTGTACACTGTGAAAAAAAAAAGCTTTTAACATTTTAAAACTTTTAAACAAATATATAATTTGTACTTCTTTATTATGTTATAGGGAGACATATTTTTACTTAAAAAAAAACAAAAAAACAATTTAACCACAATTTTAACAATTTACTGTAAAGGTACATTGCATTACATATATAGATTTAAACTAGGGCTGGACGATACGGCCAAAATTGATATCACGATATATTTCTTAATTGTAAATTATATAGTAATTTATACTTTTTACTTCCAAAAACTACATTTTACAAGATTTTTCTGTGCAATTACACATAAAATATGAATAACAGGTTTTACAGTTTTTACCATTTTGGTAAGCAAACTATTTTTACTGTTTTTACTTTTAAAAATTCACACCAAGAACGATAACTATAAAGATAACGATATTAGCGTCCGTTTAATATTGAGAACGATTTTTAGAACTATATCTTTATCATTATCTTTATAGTTATCGTCCTTGGTGTGAACGGGCTTTTAATGTTCTTTAGTCATATTTATTTTCTCATATTTTGAACGCGACAGTGTTCATCCCCATTTACATTCATTGGAAAACAGGAGCATGAACATGCTTCTACAGTTCTCTTTTGTGTTCAACAAAGCTTGATGGATTTGGCTTTCTTTTTCATGACGTTTTCATTTTTAGGTGAACTATTGTTTTAGTAATCGCACAAATCCGCAAAGAAAGATCCCATCTTCAGGCTTTCTGTAGGACGTATCAAATGTCAGAGGCACAATATTGAGAAAGTCCTGAATAGATTGCTTCTGTCTGTGTTACACTCTCCATTCGGATTCTCTCTGCTTTCTTTTCTTCTCTTAAGATGTGTCAATCCAGACCAGCGGTCACACAGCAGCCTCTTGCCCCTGACATATGGACCACTCGAGCATCTCCACAATGATCTCTGCGGATAAGATGACAAACACATCTCGAGCCGTAACCTCCTTTTCACTGCAAGAAGCCATACAACTTCAGGACGCACAAGTCTCACAATAATATTTCTTCTTACAAAACAGAAATTCACAAGATGTTTCCTAAAAACTCCACCCACGCACTGTGTATCAGCGAGGGAAAGAAAGCAATGCTGATAATTCAATGAAAGACAATGATGTTTACAACTTCTGGTTGGGAAATTATGTTTGAAAATGCCACGTCTATCTTTCTTTATTTCCTGTGTAAAGCAATAATGAATGAGATGATGTATACTAAATGACAAAATATGAATCCCTCCCTCTTCCTGAAATGCTAAGATGGTATTCTGACTGTGAATGTGATCTGTAATGATGCATTGTGGGAATGACAGACAGCATGGCACTGACTCGAGACTTAAGATAAGGCGAGGTGGAAAAAAAATGTCTTCAATAAAGAAAAGCATACTCGCAGTTTGTCTTTTCTCAATATTTACATGCACAAGTCATTAACGACTTTTGCATAGATATGGAAGGCCAGACTTTGATACCTGAAAACAAATTAAACAAAAACCACAGCAACAAAAAGTGCAGCTTACAAGCTGTTTGCTTAGTCTAACACTCAGTCCTAACTAGGGCTGCACAGTATTAGAAAAACAATATTGCAGTAATGTGTTTTTCTGCGGTATATATTATGATCTCTTTTACTTGAGTTTTCAATAGGCCATATGTGACCCTGGCCCACAAAACCAGTCAGAAGGGTCAATTTTTCGAAATTGAGATTTATACATCATCTCAAAGCTGAATAAATAAATTGTTATGATAGGACAACATTTGGCCGAGATACAACTATTTGAAAATCTGGAATCTGAGGGTGCAAAAAAAATCAAAATATTGAGAAAATCGCCTTTAAAGTTGTCCAAAT